TTATTTTCACAATAATAATGATCATTATTTTAAGCATAAGGATGATATCACTAAATAACAAATCAAGGACGACATAGATTTCTTCAGCATTTCAAATTTCAAAAAAAAAAAAATTATTAATTTTATTTTAGATTTCTAACCAATATTTTTTATTTAATTTTATTTGTCATCTGTTAATAGTATTAAATTTTATATTTTATCATAAAATACACAATTTTTTGTTAAATAATGAAAAGAAAATTATATTGTGCTATTAAATTAAATATATAATAAAAATAATTTTGAGTAAAAAAAATTAATATCACGTGCGTAGCACGTGCATCTTCCTAGTAACGAAAAAACTGTGAAAGTTTTTTTAGTAAACTAAAAATATGATTGCTAGTTTAATAATTATTAAAAATAATATAAATGTGTAATTCAAAAAATGATAAACGATGCATGAAAAATATTTAATTCATTAGTTAATATGCTCAAAATATATCTAAACCTTCAAATAAAATTTTAAAGAATTCTATTTTTTTTTTTTATGAAAAATTAAATAGAGTGGAGATTCGTGGTCAAACATTGGGGAGAACGGATGTCATTCAATGCAGACGACATTCATACAGATGGGATGAATTTTATCCTTGTTAGATTCCATTGTTTTATTTATTTATTATTTTTTTTTTCAAAAAATGAAACGGTAAATGTGCAAACGCTACAAACCATTCGAAAACACAGAAACACACAATACAACAAACACTGCAAAGTTCCCAAAAAGAGAATGAACGACCCCAACAAAATAATATCCGTTCACACTTGGGCAAACAAAAAACACAAGTCATACCAAATAACGCAATGAACAAACACAACTAAAAAACACAATTACAGCTAAACAAAAACAAGTCCTTCCTCAGCAATTCAATCGAACGAAGCGGACAAAAGTCGACCCCTAGGTGAAATTCGCAGCCTGAGGAGCCACCCCCAAAAGTACCGAAAACCTCCTAACTGAAGTAGGAATCCAAGCCCCGAAAACACCTAGAGAGTCGATCCGCCGCTTTGGTGAGAAAGATCCAAGCTCGTCCCCACACCACCTTTGCCCCAAACCGGCCAACACCACTAGCCGAAATGACAACATCAGACTCCCTCGAACTCAGCACCAGAGAAATAGGGGAGAGGGGAGTGAGAGAGGCTTCTCAGCCCCGGCCGCCCCGACGCAACTAGTACGAGCCGCCGGGGCCACTCCCGGCCCCTGAAGCCTCGCCCAACCCAATCACCACCGTAAGATCAGGAAGGTGAACGACCAGATTGTAGCGCAACACCAACAACTGCGAGTCAACGTGGAATCTCGACCCAACCACCAGCACAACTGAGACGAAGGGACGCACATCGAGGCCCATACCGTGTGGCAAAGAGCCGACCGCCAGTTGAATGCTCGACGACCGTGGAGGAAGGCAACCAAGAGATGAAGTTTGAAGCTAGGCGACGAAGAGGAAAACATAAGGAGAGGAAAAATTAGGACACACACATATTTTGTTTTATTTGTGAAAACTTTTTTTTAAAAAAATTACAAATTTTATAAAAATCACAAAAATGTACAAACAAGAAATTAGAGCTGAGCATGGGACTTGGAAAATTCCGAACAGTTCCGGAAACCGAATCGAAATCATTCCGAACCGAAAATAATCGTTAACCGTTTGACTTTCTCTGAACCAAACCGGAAAAATAATTGAGATGGTTCTGGAGATTTAAAATAAAATAATTATTTTATTTTAAATATTATTTTAGTATATCCACTAACAACTAACTATACCACATTCTCTCAAACTTAACTATAGTTAAAAAGAAACCAATTTTTTTACCAGTTGAATTCATATCCAATCACCTCCTTAATGTACTGAAATTAATCAATAGATAAATTTACAAAGAAAAATGTTTTGTAGAATGAAAGCATATTTTAGGTAGAATTGATTTTTTCAAAAGACATACTTAATAAAGTTACAAAGAAAAATGTTTTGTAGAATAAAAGCATATTTTAGGTGGAATTGATTTTTTTCAAAAGACATACTTAATAAAGTTATTAAAAGTACAGCAAAAACATCTTGTAGCATGATCACGTAATGGGCACAGGGTTATAGAAGGCCACAAAGCCCAATAGAGATGATTTCATAGCCCAACAGTCATATGTGCTGGGCCGTCTCAAAACTTTCAATTTTCTGCACGTGGCGGCCATTGCTATGGCTACCAGCAAAGAATTCGTCTTTCAAGCTCCCAGCGACGAGGAAATAGAAAATGATTCCGATGAAGAAGTAGAAGAAGAAGCACAGCAATCCGAGCGCAAAGAAGAAAAGGTGCCCGAAAGCACAGTCTCCGTGGGACTTCTCGTCCTACTCGGAGTCCGTCGCCGAAGAACACTCTCGGCGGAGCACCACTTCAATCGACTACAAAATCGACAAAGCTCGCGAGCGGCTTCCCATCGCCGCCGACGAAGATAATGGCTCCAGCGATTCTGATTCCGAACCTAACCTCCAGGTAGTGTTTCTAACTGATTTTTTTGCTAATACAATGCTTGTTTATTCATTGTGGTACAATTATTGTTTCTTTTAATTTGATTCATAGTTTCTATTTTCTGGCTCAATTGGTGTTGGGCAGGAGGAATATAGGCCGGAAGAGGAGGATGATGTGCCGACTACGAGTGGGAATGATAAACCTTTCTTTGCAACGGTGGAGGGTGTAACATATCATGCAAATTCGTTTTTGGATTTGAATCTCTCCAGGCCGTTGCTTAGGGCCTGTGAAGCTTTGGGTTACAGTAAGCCCATTCCCATTCAGGTTCCTACTGGTTGTCACTATCCCTTTGCCTTTTGTTTTTAAGACAGTTTTATTTGGTTCACCATTTTTGAGAGTTGATGTTTTTTCCTGTTATGGGTAGGCTGCTTGCATACCATTGGCCTTAACTGGACGCGATATTTGTGGGAGTGCTATCACTGGTTCCGGAAAGGTATGTCCAATTTGCGTATTTTCATTACAAGTACCATTTGAATTTGATTGTTCTGTTTAAGTTGTACCTTTCATTGATTCATAAAAGCATAGCAAGTCCCTTAAAGCACTAGATATATATTTAACTTCAAAATTAGTTGGATAGTGTTGCCCACTTTCTTTTGGTAGCTCTAAGATTATAACTTTTTTGGTTTTCCTTACATTTCTGCCGTGGTTTATTATAATTCTCTATTCACAATCATGTTAATTTGGAAATACATAATACATTTTCTTTGTTTCTCTTGTGAAAAAGGACCAGGTCGATGACTGTAGACTAATGAAATATATTGTTTGTAATATCAGACCGCTGCCTTTGCTCTGCCAACATTGGAGAGGCTTTTTTTCCGGCCAAAGAATAGGCCAGCTATAAGGGTCCTAATACTCACTCCAACGAGGGAGTTGGCTGTTCAGTAAGTTTTACGTCTTACAGTGTTGATATGTGATCTTATATTATTTTTTATCAACTATTATTTTTTTAAAATATAATTTTTCTTTGTGCGCTGATGTTGGATGGAGCAATATCTCATTTTGGTATTTGTTTATTATTTAACATATTAAGATTTTTTGGGATTCTTTCCATGCCTAGGATTTAATCTTGGTGGAGAGGCGCAATTTTGCTCTGTTACTTTTTTTTTCTTCTTCTCAAGCTGACATTGAGATGTAGGCTTCACGTTTGTTTCTACTCTTGATGATTCATAGACTATATGAGTCTTTTTCAGGAACAAGAAGAGTGAATTAGTGAAAATAAGGGAAATGGTAAAGTTCTATTTGCAATAGTATTTAGTAATTTGGAATTAGCAAGCAACTTTACAGGCGAGTAATTGTTAGAAGTGCATAAGAAGTACTATTCCTGTTGTATGTCTGAATGATGGTATAGTTTTACCTGTGTGTGCCAAAAGTTCATTGAGAATGGAAATGGTAAACTTATATTCCTTAACTGTCATCTGGATATGTAGAAATTTTGTCATGAACCGCTATTTATTGCTGTTTGTCTGTTATTGCTTGCACTCTCACCTGCGGTGATCCGGACAATCTTGATGGAAGCAGCCTTTCCTAACTTTGGCTTGGCATATTTAATATAATTTCATCGAATCGAAGTCCATTTACTTTCCTTCTTTGTATCCCATTTTATTCTACAATTTTGGTTCATTAAAGCTAGATTCTTATTCTTTCAGGATTCATAGTATGATTGGCAAACTTGCTCAGTTTATGACCGATATTAGATGTTGTCTGGTCGTTGGTGGTCTTTCAACAAAGTTTTGTATTCCTGTTTCCTTTGGTCGCATTCGACATTTGGCATATGATAAAACTAACGTAGATCTGTTGTGGAGGCTTGATATGCATGGTTTTGTTTGTGTGACTTATTTAGCTAGTTAGTATCAGCATATTTCATGGATAAGATGTCCATCTAAACTAGATCAAAAGAGCAATAATTATCATCTTCACTAAGAATCTATACTAGTTTGCATTTTGGAATAAACATGGCATGATTATAATTTCTGTTTGAGGCTAACGGTTTGGTTTTCTTAAAACTAGATGCATATGGTTAGTATTGAAACGTCTGCATCTGTGACTGAATTGTTCTTTGTTGTTGGACTGAGAAATGTTGATTCAGGTTCTAGAAAATTCAGCTTATTGGATGATTTAGGACTAGTTTCATTCTTGTACATTTTTGGCTTGAAATGGAGAAGAAAAGAGAGGATATGGTTCTATTAGTGGTAATAGGATTATAGCCTGCTGTCAAACAAATGCTCCTGGCTTGATCCATGAAACTAGTGTCAAAATCTTGCTGTACTTAGATTTCTTTAGATTGTAAAAGATGTTATTTTTTTGCTCATGCGTAGTCAAAAGATGACCCAGAGTGGTTATTTTCCCTAATAAGACTGTAGAAATAAGTAATGTCTTATGAGGCTCCTTTTCCCCTCTATTAGTGCATATGGCTTTTGTTGGCTCTCTGTAAAGTGCTGATGCAAATGCATGATATCTGGCATGTATTATGATGAGTTTGTGTTCCTAGTGAATATTCATATAATATTGTGTTGGTTAATGGGATGTGAGAATAGTGTCAATGAAAACTCTCAATTAGGAAGCTGTTGGTACTTGGTGATATAGTTTCTGCTGCCTCTTAGAGTTTCTTTTTGTATTCTTCTTAATCTGATGTAATATAGGTTCAAGAAGCAGCCTTGAGATCACTTCCGGATATAGTTGTTGCTACTCCAGGACGCATGATAGATCACTTGCGCAACTCTATGTCAGTACATCTAGACGAACTTGCAGTTTTGATACTTGATGAAGCTGATCGGCTTCTTGAGCTTGGATTCAGTGCAGAAATTCATGAGTTGGTAAACTTTCAGGCATTTTCTTTTTCAGCAGGAAATTCTGTCATTTATTTTGTTGTGAAATTCACGATTTGGTAAACTTTCAGGCATTTTCTTTTTCAGCTGGAAATTTCTGTCATTTATTTGGTTTATCATACTGGAAACATAGCCGGTTTTGCTGAGTCATCTCTTTTTATTTGATATACTTCTTCCTGTTTTGTCTGTCCGTCTGTCTTGAGTTTGTAATTTTCTATTTCGTTTTGTCTTTTTAGCTTCCTTTGATGTTGACGTAACTTTATGTTTTTGATAATTCATAATTGTCTATCTACAGGTCAAGTTGTGTCCTAAAAGGAGGCAGACCATGCTATTTTCAGCAACCATGACAGAGAGAGTTGATGAACTTATCAAGCTCTCTCTGGTTAAACCACTCCGCTTATCAGCTGATCCGTCAACAAAGCGGCCATCAGCATTAACCGAGGAGTAAGTCATAGTAGTCTGTTTTGCTGGATTTACTGCAATTTCCGTGTCCTTTGCTAAGATCCGTAAACATATACTGAACTTCGAAGTTATATTGATGACTGTTCATTTTTCCTACTTTTAACTTTTCAAAATTTAACTTTGTCACCTCATATGCAGGGTGGTTCGCATACGCCGAACGCTCGAAGGGAATCAAGAAGCAGTTCTTCTTTCATTATGCTCCAAAACATTCACATCTAAAGTGATTATTTTCAGGTTTTGGCCTGTCTTAAATTAAACTTATTAGCTTACCTACAGAAACACTGATACATAAAATCAATGATGTGGAATATCGAAAACTTTCCTTGCATATAGAGATTCAACATGCCAATAACTAATCGGTAGGTCCATTTGTATTGCCTGAGAGGAATCAGATCCCTCTTGTCAACAACTAATTGCTTGATTCAAGTGACCTTCCTGTCAAATCCCAACAGGCAAATAGTGCATAAATATACTGTGGATAGTTTTTCATCCCTAACATACAGTGAGTGTGAACTCATAGAAGAGGCCCTTATATTGAGCTCGACTTTGGGCTTTAATGCATTGTACTCATATTGGCACTATTTGCTTATCAACATTGAAAGAGGGAAAATTTTAATGGTGGTTTCAACCAAGTAATCAGTTTTTGAGAGAGGTCTAAATTACCTTAAGAAATGCAAATAGATCTACCAATTTGAAATCCCACCAAGTGTTGTCGGCTACATGGATCACATGTCGCCATCGTGCTCAATCAAAACACATATCCTCATTCAAATTTAAGTATTTTAGTTATTTTGTTGTCTCCTTCTAAGTTTTCTTAGGTCTACACCTCCCCCTTTTAGTTTGCGTTCTTAATTATAATGTTTCTACCCTTCTCACCGGGGTCTCGAAGTCTCTCCTACGCACATGCCCAGACCATCTTAAACGTGATTCTCTCATTTTATCCTCTACGGGCGCTACCCCAACTTTATTTCTAATACTTTCATTTCTAATCTTATCTAACCTAGTATGCCCACACATCCATCTCAGCATTCTCATCTTTGCCACTCGCATTTTTTTGATCACTAGTAAAGTGCACGTGCGATGCACGTGGTGTCGAATGATTTTCGTGGAGTAAGTTTGTAAAATAAATTAATTTATTTATTAAACATATCATTGCATATATGAATTAAAATATAGAAAAAATGAACTCATATGTGATTTTTTTTATTTAAAATTGACATAATGATGTCCTCATATAAAAATAGTTAAATAACATTTTACAAACCCCAACAAAAACATATATAAAAAAACAAATTCCTAATAAAAAAGCACAAAGATTTTCTTTCATTTTAGTTTAACGTTCTCATAAGAACATTCATAGTCGTTGGAGTCCAATACATCAATAATATTGCAAAATTCCTCTTAATTAATTTGGCAAAACACCTATTTTATTCAAACACTTAAGAAACATTCTGACCCAACATATAGTCAAACTTCATGATCGTATGATCTTTATAACAAGGTACGTACTTCTACTAACAAAGGATAAATATCTCTATGAAATAACTAACGGTGTCACTAAAATTGCTGATAGTTTTTATCACTGTATAAACTACTACATTCCTCTATTTCTAGATATATTGGTGTCTACCCCATTGATGCATCGCCCCACGAGGTGGGAATGAATTTTATCTCCAAATAAAAGTTGACTTTCCAAAATCTTGGTTACATGTACTTCTCCCGAGGTGCTAAATTGTTTTTTGAAATCATCATACATTACCTACCTCTAAAGTAATTGCACATATGTTCAAGCACAATACACCAATGAGATTATAAATATTTCTATAAAAAGTGACAACTTAATTCTAACATTCAAAACTGTTTTGATACTCCTACATTTCATTTTCAGTGTTATTTATCTAGAATATAGACGAACAATATAATCTATTTTTTGCAATGATAAAACAAAACAATGAGAAAATATTAAGAAGCATATCATTTGTTAAAATATTTGACAACAGAAGAATTAGAATTCCATTACATGACGATACTTTTAGTCAATTGTAAAGTTTATTATTATGAAGTCATGATTAAAATATACATCATGTATACGATTTTTTTAGATTTTTTTTAATTATTTAAAATTGAAAATTAATAATATATGATCATTATTTATGAGAACCAATTTCTTACAAAGTCCATATATTTAAACGCTAGCAACAAAAAAATAGTAATTTTAAAAGACTTTATGTTTGTAAATATTGGTATTCATACATTTCTAAGAAAATTAGCATGTTTTCCTTTTCTCATTGCATTACTATTATATTATTTGTTTCTCATTCTATAGACAAATAATATTTTATTTGCTAAGTAACTAAAGCACATTTATACGTATTATGTTATTTTCTGCATGTGTTTTATATAATGATGGTATCAAATTATCTTATTTATTAGGCTACAATTAATATAATCACATAAGATTAAATGTAATTTAATATATTTGATAAAATTGTACTTTTTATACGAATGATTAGATTAAAAAGTTTTAGAATTTTTTCCAATGTTTGATAAAATATTAATTAACTAAGTCATTTTCATAATCATTGAATACATATATGGTACCACCATTATAGGGTTCATTTTGCAGCAGTAATTGACTTCACATAGCTAATGTTATTTCATTTCCTTTCTCTGGCCTAGCCTTTCCTTTTATCTATTACTTCACATTGCTTCGCTTCGTTTGTATCCTAAGGTGCATTTGCCATAGTTTCAGCATTACGACAAACTCGTGTCAAACATATATCGGATTTGGGCGCTCTAGCCAAAACGTGGGACCAGTTATAAGTTTACACCCATTTTTTTACTTTTTTTTTTTAATATGAATTGTTTCAAATTTATGTATGGAAAACATACCACAAGTTTATCTTATGTTATTTTATACTTAATAAAATTGATTTAACTTGAATATAAAATTTATTATATTATATACTTTAAGACTAATTTATAATTTTAATTTAGTACTGATATATATTATTTTATATCAATATAAATAATTATATTATTTTTATTTTATTGCAATATATGGGTGAACTCAAACATCATTGAAAATAAATGATGTGATATATTACATATAAAAAGGTAACAAATAAAAATATGAAGTATTTGAAAATTAAAAAATTTAATGATAGAAAATAATAAAAATCTTAACTAAAAAATTTAAGATTAACATACTCACTTTTAAAGAAATATACATATGAATATATAGATATATATATGTGTGTGTGTGTATATATATTATGTACTTAAAAGTTCTAGTTAAAATATATGTGTATCTTAAGTATGTTTTATATTTATCATTAGCCAGCTCCAATTGATATTGTACATTAAGTAATTTTATCTGCATTTTTACTTTTGGATTTAATGAGAGTTATAAGTTTTGTTATCTTTCTTACCCCTTATTTAGTTATTACAATACTAATGAAATAATTAAGGACCTTTCAAAGTATCTTGTTTGCTTTGAAAAAAATTAATTCTTATCATAAATTGAACGCCAATTACATTGAATGTGTTATATTTTTTATCGTATCAAAAACTTTCATAATAATAACATTTTTTTGTATAGATTTGGAGTCTTAGTTTTACTGCAAGAAAATGAGAAAATTCCAACAAAAATTACAACAAATATAAAGATTTTCTTATATTGATTTTAGAAAAATCTTGACTTTTGATTTCTTAAATATATTTTACCTTATTGTGATTGCATAGATTTATTAAAATGTATTACAAATGAGAAAGGTGATAGATTATGTAAAGTATAATTTATAAAAAGCAATCACATGTTATTTTGATGGTATATTTTTTTTCTATTAACTAAATAATGCTCCCAATATGAAATTATTTTGGATCTATCACTGCAATTATCTTTCCAATGGAACTTCTATTGAAGTTTTGCATAATACCAATGACAATTTTTTCAAAACGATTGAAATAATGGTCCAAAAAATAAACTCCAATAGAAATTCAGGTAATTGAAATCTTTACATCCACTAAAGTTCATGTTATTTAATTTGAACTCTATTGGAATAGCCAATGAAAGCAACATATTCGTTGAAATTTTCTGTCGAATACCTTACCGTTGAATTTTTCATTGCAGTATAACAAAATTTTTGTAGTCCTCTTAAACATTATTTTTTATGTAGTATATATTGAGTAATTGTGTTTACAATTTTTCTATTAATAATATATTAAACACGTGAACTTTTTAGTTCATATAATTTTTTTTTTTCAGAAATCACTCATTATTTTATCTCAAGATTACCTATTAATTTACCAATTGAGTTACATTTCTTACATATTAAATATTATATAATTAAAATATTTCTTGTTTTATCTGTTCAATATCATACTTATATATTACATTAAAAAACTATTATAGTAAATAAAAAAGTAATTTAAAATTAGAATAATAAATATTTTTTTTTTTAATCTACATGTATAAATGTATAAATAACTATTGTCTATCACCTTAAATTTACACATAAAATTAATAAGAACAAAAAACTAACAAGAGTTTAACAATTCAGTTCGATTACATCGATAAGTTATTTTTAGAAGGTTTATATTTAGTTATATTAATTATATTATTTTATATTATTTTGTTTTATATTTATTAGTACGTGTCACAACTTAGTTATTATTCATATTATTTCTTATATTTGATATTTTTTTAAAACTTTATCTTGTTCTTTCACAGTTCTTAACTGTAGATTTGTCAAAAAAGACGTAATATAAAGAATAGAATTTTTTCGATCATCTGCCTCATTATATATCAAATATTTGTATATCCTATATTATATTATATTTAATTACAATATTTTATTAATATTTTAATTAAATATTTACAATTCATAAATTCATTAATAATATTGTCGAGTCAACTTTGTTCATAAAATTTTTAAAAATATATTATTTTCATTGATTTGCTTATGTTGAATTGAGAAAAGTTATGGTTTTTTAATTACATATAGGGAGAATATAAGATTTCTGATATTTTACTGTCCCTCGGCCCGTAGGTCCTGACACAAGGTTAGAGTTCTAGCGCTCCCAGAGTGGTTTTAAAAAATATATTATTTTCATTGATTTGCTTATGTTGAATTGAGAAAAGTTATGTTTTTTTAATTACATATAGGGAGGATATAAGATTTCTGATATTTTAAATGTAGTATTTATTGAGTAATTGTGTTTACAATTTTTCTGTTAAAAATATATTAAACACGTGAATTTTTTAGTTCCTATATTTTTTTTTCATAAATCACTCGTTATTTTATCCCAAGATTACCTATTAATTTACCAATTGAGTTAGAATTCTTACATATTAAATATTATATAATTAAAATATTTCTTTTTTTATCTATTCAATATGATACTTATATATTATATTAAGAAAACTAATATAGTAAATAAAAAAGTTATTTAAAATTAGAATAATATGGATTTTTTTTAATCTATATGTATAAATGCACAAATAACTATTGTCTATCACCTCAAATTTACACATAAAATTAATAAGAACAAAAAACTAACAAGCGTTTAACCACTCAGTTCGATTACATCGATAAGTATATTTTAGAAGGTTTATATTTTGTTATATTAATTATATTATTTTTGTTTATTAGTTTGTTTTATATTTATTAGTACGTATCACAACTTAGTTATATTTCATATTATTTCTTATATTTAATATTTTTTTAAAACTTTATCTTGTTCTTTCACATATTCTTAACTGTAGATTTGTCAGAAAAACACATAATATAAAGTATAGAATTTTTTCGGTCATCTGCCTCATTATATATCAAATATTTGTATATCCTATATTATATTATATTTAATTACAATTTTTTAATTAATAATTTAATTAATATTTACAATTCATAAATTCATTAATAATATTGTCGAGTTAACTTTTGTTCATTAAATTTTTAAAAATATATTATTTTCATTGATTTGCTTATGTTGAATTGAGAAAAGTTATGTTTTTTAATTATAAATAGGGATGATATAAGATTTCTTATATTTTTTATGTAGTATTTATTGAGTAATTGCGTTTACAATTTTTCTATTAAAAATATATTAAACAAGTGAACTTTTTAGTTCCTATAATTTTTTTTTTTTTTTCAGAAATCACTATTTATCTCAAGATTACCTATTAATTTACCAATTGAGTTACATTTCTTACATATTAAGTATTATATAATTAATATATTTCTTGTTTTATCTGTTCAATATGATACTTATATATTATATTAAAAAAACTAATATAGTAAATAAAAAAGTTATTTAAAATTAGAATAATAAAGATTTTTTTTTCTAATCTACATGTATAAATGTACAAATGACTATTGTCTATCACCTCAAATTTACACATAAAATTAATAAGAACAAAAACTAACAAGCGTTTAACAACTCAGTTCGATTACATCGATAAGTATATTTTTAGAAGGTTTATATTTAATTATATTAATTATACTATTTTTGTTTAAAGTTATGTAAATTATATATAGGGAGGATATAAGATATGATGGCATTAGTATATTACCAATTTGCCATTAAAAACATGTGAAAGTAAGGGTTTTTTAGATAGTTTATTTTTTAATTAAAAATATAAATAAAATATGATGTGTATTAGTGTATTACTAATTTGCCATTAAATTTATATCAAAATAAGGGTGTTTTAGGCATTATGAATTTTTACAAAAACACTCCTCCTTTTAAAGTAGTATAGATATAGATTTTCATATTTAGTACCCCAACACTTGGATCCATAAAGCATCGTCGGTCGAATGCCGTTCGATAGAACTTGCCTTTCAAACTAAATAAGATTCAGATAGATCTCACAAAATAAAATCCAATGGCAGGCATCAGATGTTCACATCATGGCATTACAGTGTTGCATTTTGAGTGAGGAATGGAAGTGTAGGCTGAATCCAATTTCTGTCCAAATTAGAACTATCCATTTCTATTTTCTGTTATTTATATACTTATATTAGTAGCTTTGCTTTTCGAATAAAATTTGCTGTATCCATATTCATGTCGAAATTTCTTTGCAGCATCTAATGCATTTTTTCTTCGGTTTAAGTCCTGCTGCTTAGAGCATGTTTGTTTATAAGATTTTTTAAAAAATTTCCTACATTTTAACTCAACCATTTTTTTTAACTCAAACTTTAACTCCACACTACTCTTATCAATATTATCAATATAATTAAATAATATCAATCAATCATTCATACACACAACATCAACCTTAATTCACTATTCATCTACTCACATAATTTTAACTAACCATCACATCACATCTTCTCTCTCCTACTTTTACATCAATTTAATTTTAATTATTTTATTTTAAATATTATTTTAATATATCCATTAACAACTAACCTTACCACCTTTTTAAAATTAACCAAACCAAACAAAAAAATCCAAACAAACCCAAAAAATTTCATAAACAAACATGCTCTTACTAATTTCGTATTTATATTGTTAGTGGAACCAAGAAGGCAGCGCATAGACTGAAAATTTTGTTTGGGTTAGCTGGATTTAAACCAGCTGAGCGTCATGGAGACCTCATCCAGGCCCAGCGTCTTGATGTAAGTCCCTCCCAGACTCCCATGTTCATCGTTTGTTTCCTTTTGGGTTTGTGAGTGGTTCACTTCTGCATCTTGAAGTATTTTATTCTGTTGGATAGGCCTTGGAGCTGTTCAGAAAGCAACAAGTGGATTTCCTAATTGCTACGGATGTTGCTGCTCGTGTAAGAATAAGATTTTTGTTTCATACAGCTAAACTAATTGGGTGCTCAGAGTGGGGGTTTGGGAAGTGGGAATGGGAATGGGAATGAAATGAGTAGTGCTTGGTACCAACAACATTAACTGTTGATTGCCCGTTGTTTATTGTTGAATCATACCCATACAAATTGGTTTATGAAAAGTATTTACCCATTTCTTTCACTCCCATAGCTGTTCGCATTTCTTTAATGTTACCAAGCACCCCGACTATTAGAATTTTTTAATTTATAAAGATCATTAGATCAATGTGATGTTGCTATGTGTGTCCACTACTCTTGTATTTAATTTTTCAGGGTCTTGATATTATAGGAGTTCAGACAGTAATCAATTTTGCATGTCCTCGAGACCTTACGAGGTAATTTACCCTAATGGTTTACAACGTACCAACTACTTATATGCAGCTCTGCATTTATAATTTGTAGTCCTTTCTATGAAAAAATAAAAATCATTCGACTATCCAACTGAGGCATTTGAAGGTGCAATTTCGCAACAATATTCATTTATAACAACCTTCCTATCAAAGAAAACCTCCTGTGACCATTTCTCGACATTTAAAAAAAAAGTACGATGGGAAAGTCATAAATGAAGTGTCACACTCCCGAAACTAAATCATTGTTACTTCTATATTTTCGTCAAGTCAAACTCAATATTACTGATATTGTATAATTGTGTATATGGAATATCCATGCAGTTATGTACACCGAGTGGGTCGTACTGCCAGAGCAGGCAGAGAAGGTTACGCTGTTACATTTGTTACTGATGATGACCGGTCTCTCTTAAAAGCGATTGTAAGATTCCACCTCTTCCACTCAAATTATGGATATGCCTAGTTTTGTTTGCTTTAGGAGGTTCAGTTGCTCGATTGAAAATCTCTGCGAAGTTCTGCTCTCATTTTGGTATATGCTATTTCTACTTTGTAGGTTTTTTATGGTGGGGTCAAATGGTCTCTTTCATGGTTTGTTGTTTTCTTGGGACTTAAAAAAATGATGTCTTTCAATTCACACCCAAATTTTATAGTTATAACTTCATGGCATTGATCACTTAGTTAGGTCAATGTTCCACACTTACTCGAGTTAGTGCAAGTATGATGTACTCTCTTGAAGGAAAAACTTCATTGGATGAAATTCAAAACTTGAGCTTTGGCTGTGGACAATGAACTAAGATGAAGCACATAACTAGG